ATTTATTTCTCTACTCAATGAAAGCTGACGTTTTCTCCCATGATTCATTTGAAATTGATGATTTATTAAATCCAACGGAAACTTCATTTCTTTTGAATATGTAGTAACAGATGAGAATGGGAATGGGGAATAAGCATGTTTATTGTAAAAAATCAAATAATAAAAGGTAAACAAAACCTACTCAAACTTCCCACCCTATCCCTGAGTTAGACACTAGTTTTCAGTTTTATGTAAATTGTTTCAAATCGTTTTGTATTCATATGAGCTATATTATACACAACTTTCTCCATGTGCACAAAGATATGTTCCTATGGGAGCGAGTGCAATGTACGGAGTTACCTACTTCTCCGCCATCTTGCCCCCTCTCTCAGGTTTGAGTTTATTTTTGTGTATGGTGTAATAAAGTGGCCCAGTTTCATTCTTCCGCATGTTGCTGCCCAGTTCTCCCAAAACCATTTGCTAAAGAGACTGTCTTATTTCCATTGGGTACTCTTTTCTGGTTTGTCAACATGATACTTTACATGGAAAACCCAAAAGACTCCACCAAAAAGCTGCTAGAACTGATACATGAAATTCAGCAAAGTCACAGGATGAAAAATCAATGTACAGAAATTGGTTGCATTTCTATATATCAATAATGAAGCAACATAAAGAGAAATCAAGGAATCAATCTCATTTATAATTGCACCAAGAGCCCATAAAATACTTAGGAATAAACATAACCAAAGATGTAAAAGATCTGTATGCTGAAAACTATAGAAAACTTATAAAGGAAATTGAACAAGACAGAAAGAAATGGAAAAACATTCCATGCTCATGGATTGGAAGAATAAATATTATTAAAATGTCAATACTACCCAAAGCAATCTACGCATTCAATGCAACCCCAGTCAAAATTGCACCGGTATTCTTCTCAAAGCTAGAACAAACAATCCTAAAACTTGTATGGAACCACAAAAGACCCCAGGTTAGTATCTTTTAAAAGAGGCCCCAGAGAGCTCCGTTCTTCCAGCTCCATCGTCCTTCCACCATACAAGGACACAGTGAGAAGATGGCCGTTTATGAAGTAGTTAGTGGGCCCTCACCAGATACTGAATCTATTGATGCCTTGATCTTGGACTTCCCAGCCACCAGAATATGAGAAGTAAATATTGTTGTGCAAGCCTCCCAGTCTTTGGTATTTTTGTTAGAGAGCCTGGATGGGGTAAGACATGGGGGATTCCCTGCTCAAGCTTTTCACTTTCCATATTCTTCCCAAGAGAGATCCTTCTGGTACATGGTATGACTTCAACCACAGTTTCTGTGCTAACTGTTCATATTTCTGGGATGTGGCTCAGGTCTCTCCCTTGAGCTCCAGGTCCACATATTCAACTCTGTTTCGGACATCTTAATCTTAACATATCCCAAACTGAACTTATTTCTTATGTCCCACCCACTGATTTAGTCACCCAAGCCAGTAATCAGGCTCTTCCTTTTCCCTTTCCCCTCCTCCCCCATAAAAAACCAGGTATGGACTTCTGCTGATTCTGACTTCTTCCCATCACCCTCTCTACTGCTGCTGCTGAGTCCTTTATTATTGTGTAGCTGGAATCTTCTAACATCTCCTTAATTCTAGTCTCATCCTTCTCTTCATCAGCTTTCTCTCTAACCTGTGGAATAAAGCATATCATCCATCTGCTCAAAATTCTCTATTTACTTCTCCTTGAAAGTGGTCAGAATAAAATCCAAACTCCAGACCACACACACTAAAGCTTTATTGATCTGGACCTGGTTTCTTTTCCTTTTGTTTCAGTCACACAAAATATCCTGTTTCCTGAATTAGTCAAGTTCTCTGATTTCTCAGGTGTTATCATATTCATCTTCCTTACATAACACACTTCACTTGCTCTTCAAAGGAGTCATACCTATTCACTGTTTTCCAGCAGCCTCCCCTGACCACACAGTTTGTGTTGGGTGATCTGTCCATGTGGTCCCGTTATTCCTCATTTCAAGACCATATTTTCACATGAGACTGTGAGCTGCTTAAGAGTACGCAGGGGTATAGCTTTCATTTCTATAACTTCAGATGTAGCTCAAGAGATATCTAATAAGGGTCGGGTCATGATCCCAGGGTCGTGGGATCGAACTCTGCATTGGGCTTGGAGCCTGCTTAAGATTCTCTCTCTCTCTTCCTCTGTCCCTTTTCCCTGCTTTTCTTTCTCTCCAAAATAAAATAAAACTTTAAAAATTTAAAAAAAACATAAAATCTTAAAAAACAAAGAAATATCTAATATATATATGGAAAGAAGAGAAAGGAGAAGAGGAGAGGAGAATCTGGCCTCTGCTCCCAAAAAGTCTCTTACCAAGATTAAGATCACTAGTGACCACACAATTACTAAATGCAATGGGTACGCTTTCTGCTAATCTGGATATAGTTTTTTGAAACATCACTTTCTCCTAGACTCCCTTCTGTCCAGGGTGGGTCCCTCTCATTTTCCTCTTTAGGGTCCTTTCCTTCTGCTCGCCTCTTGGGTGAGGATATTGTCCTGCACTCCCTGCTCTCTTAGTCTCCTTGTGATGTGCCCAAATTGGAGCCTACACGGACACCTGCAGTGGTGTGCTGCCCCCTACTGGAACTGCCGAGAGGCCAGCCAGCGATAGTAGTGCCCTTAAGCCAAGGGAGGTTAGAAATAAATTCTGTTAGTCTCCAAGGGCTAGCTTCAAATGCTTCAGCAAAACACAGGGCAGCAGCCCCTTTGAAGACTCCCTGGAAGAGTCAGGGTCTGAGCAAGGCCCACCCACATGTGGTTTATTTTCACTTCCTTCCTTTTTTCTTTCTCGGCACTTGTGACTCTGACTCCTCCTCCCCCACAGCTTCTTATTTATGCTTCGCTTTAAAATCTTCCCTAGCTATCTCTACCTCAAGTTCCCTCATTCTACTCCTGTCTAATCTTCTCTTCTAGTCCAAGGATTTGCTGTAGCCCGTATTGGGGGAAGAGCAGAAAACTGGGGTGGATTAGAGCTGAACCATGACCTTGTTCTGACTTGAAGTTTCAATTACAAAATGCAGGCAATAATGCCTGTCCTTCTCACCTCACAGGGCTCCAAGATGATCAAGTGAATGGGGTGTCATATGCAATTTAAGGTATTGAGCTGACTCACTTTCTCCATATTGATCTTTTGGGGGAGGGTAATTACTTTCATCGGAAGATCTCCTCACAACATCCAGATGGCCAACAGACACATGAAACGATGCTCAGCATCCCTCCTCATCAGGGAAATAAAAATCAAAACCACACTGAGATACCACCTCACACCAGTCAGAGTGGCTAAAATGAGCAAATCAGGGAACTCTAGATGCTGGCGAGGATGTGGAGAAACGGGCACCCTCCTACACTGTTGGTGGGAATGTAAACTGGTACAGCCCCTCTGGAAAACAGTGTGGAGGTTCCTCAGGAAACTAACAATAGAACTCCCCTATGACCCAGCAATAGCACTGCTAGGAA